TATTCAATGATTTCCTCTCTTCTGTGTCAGTCTTTGACGTGCGTTCACGAGAGTACCATAACGCATACGTGTGATGCTGCTTACGCAATTTAAAATGGCAATGGCATGTAGTCATGTTGTTTGAAACCTTTTCTTTGGAGTACAAAAATCACATCAAATTTAAGTAAATTTCAATAGAAATCTTGCTTGACAGTCATTATTTGAAAACATTTTCATCAGAAGAGCAGCTTGGACATTCTGCTAAACATCTCCTAATGTGTTCCTCAGAAAAAAGTCATGGAAGGTTTGAATGATATGAGGGTAAATTAATACCTTAAAATAAATGGTGTCCACCTTTGCTCAGGTCCACAGTTTTTAGATATATTTGCTTGGTGGTATTTTTAGTGCATATTTTATTGCTGTAAATAAAACTTTTATAGCAAAGTATAGACAGAAAGCAGGACAATACATTACCCAGAATGCCTGATTCTGAACGTGTCCCAAACAGAAGCATGCCTACTCTTCCCTGTTTTGGTACGTTGGCTTTGAAAGAATGTCGAAGTTGAATCCATTACCCAGATCCTAGACGATCCACTTCTCAGCCAGTCAGTAGAAAGAGTAAGAAAGTGCTTTTGGCAACAGCAGTGCAACAGTGCAGGAAGGGGGGGGGGATTTCTGCTGTTAATGCTCAGAGGGCATTCTGGGTAAATTACAGTGTTACAAAAATTCAAGGCTCACTGGCATTTTCTTTCCCTTGGCACACTGCGTTCTACACAAGGTGAAAGGTGAATCATAGCAAAGCATGAAAACAGCAGGGTTATTATTTGATCACTCCATATGGTTTTACTAAAATAGTAGTTTTAAAAGCCGCTAGTTATTTTTATAGCTAATGATGAGTCTTGGAAAATCTTCTAATTCTTCAGCATCGGAATCAATCTTCAATTTTCCTGACCACGTAATTTTGGGAAAACTGGGAAAAGCTCAGCCCCGGGACACATGCTTGTGACACGCAGGGTCACCATAGCAACACTTTGTGTGGGTGTGTGTGACCACAACACCCCTATTTTGTCATCTTTTGGACTGCTCACTCCCTCCTTCATTCCCGATCGCTTTCTCTCTCTCTCTGTCTCTACTTGGAAAAAGATTTGCGCAAACGAAAAAAAAAGTCACATTCTCTGTTTAAGACATAATAAAGATGGTATCTGAGCAACGGACAGGAATAAAAACACATTTCCCTGAGTGCCGCAATAACAAAATGATTCAATTACTACATAAATACAGCTGTGTGTGTGTGTGTGCAGCTGACAGAGCGAGAGCAGCAGAGCTGGTAGGCCTGGCTTTTTCAGGACACTCCAGTGGTCACCGTTTTCCCTCATGCTATCACAGTCGCCATGCCATCAGCCTCTGTCAGATCAAAGATGCTCAGTTCATCTGCCATAATGAAGCCATTCATCAGCCATGTTTATCAATAACATTCTCATCCTTAATGTGCACACGAAATGCAGTCAAAGCGCTCTTCTCAGACTGATTGTAGTAAAAACAGAGCATTCCGTTGGAGCGCGTCCAGGCCTAATATGGAAAAAGACCGAGTAGGCAGGAGAGAGAGAGAAAGATGGAAAGAGAGAAATGCAATATGCTTCTCAGTTCTCCACTGATTGTCTTCATGTTGGTGTTGTAAATACTGTAACAGTAAGGCACAGGGTTTAAAAATATATATTGCTAAGTTGGAGTTGTGGCCTAGTGCCATCTGACACGTTGAGTTGGGGTGCTGCTTATGTGGGTGACACAGGTTCAAGTTTTCCTTTTCCGTTCATTGTCATATAGGGCTTGGTGGTATGACGGTGTATATATTCACAATGTGTCAGCCAGGAGAACAATGTGACAATGTGTGTCAGCCAGGAGAATTTTTGTTCTATTGTTTATATTGCAGTAGATGTGTTTATAAGCATGACCATTTGAATTTACAAAATTACTAGGTGTCTCAAAAAAGTCAAGGAATAACTTGTTATTAAGAGGTTGCTGTGTTGTGGCTTGTTATTTGAAAATTATTATTTAAATTATTTATATATAAAAAAAAAATTATCTATAGAACTATTCATTTACAACTTGTCACATTAATAAAAATATGTTGAAAGATGTTTATATGCTGTCTATTTTACAGTGACTTTGTGACCAATTCAATCAGAATTTTGTTTTAACATTTTTTAAATTGTTTAATTTATTTGTAACACAATGCAAAGATGTTTTTGTACTGATCCTACACTTAACGATATCTTTTGGTGTGCATCTTCAATTTCTGCAGTTTTGGTGCACATTTTATTTATTTACCTTTTCATTTCATTGCATTGCATTGAATTACATTGCACAGTTCTCCATACCCATGACTCGTGCATGATTCTACCAACTCATAATGTGATATATGATTTTGGCCATGTTCAGGAAACCCGTTTAAAAAAATTAGTTCTGTTGCAGTTCTTTTTGGTACCACTAGTGATGCAGAAATTACACAGTTGCCCAGTTTTGTGTGTCTTTGCCTGGTTTGGGCCTCATTTGACCTGCCTCTGAGCTTTTTCCAAGGCTGTGGAAAGGAGAAAATGCCCAACAAATGTTTATTTTTGCCCGAGTGATTGGTGTATTTGCTCGTGCTGAAGCTAGAGCAGTGAAAGGAGCTCTAAAGAGAAGAAAATACATCCACACACGTCTGCAAGGAAACGGGCCCGTCTCTAATCCCCCTCTATTCCTGAAATCACTATTTCCTCCTGGCGTTTCCTTCCTGGAAATTTGTGCTGTCAGTGGGTGAAAATTGTGTCCAGACTCTTCTAAGTTCTCAAGCCAGAATGTCCGTTGGAATATTTGTTCAATGAACCCAAATTTAGTTTGGGAAACTATTAGGAAACTATTATGGGGCAAGCTATTTTGGACATTAACATAGCTAAATGAAACTACCTTACCGTTTTCCAAACACATGTAGTTGAACCTGATGAGGGTTTAGCAGTTTTTTTGGACATCATATCTTGTGTCTGTTTGTGCAGCTTGGTTTTCTGGTTTTTGTTAGCCTCGATTTTCCATATTCATTCTTTTTTTCTTTCTTTTTTTTGTTTTTCTGTAAATCTTTGGAAAGTTTACTCAGTAACTGTATCAGTTCCGTCGGAGTCGACTGATTACAAATGTGAGTGTGTACACTCAGTGAGTCTCTCAACCTCCCAATTACTGCACTCTTTCTGCATTCAGCTTCTCCCAGTACAAACGTTTAAATAGCTGGAAATAAAAACATATTATGCTCTGCTGTTGCTATTGGGTTAAAAAAATATGTTAAATCTGGTTTTCTTTTTCAGGACATTTCAGCGAGAACATCCACTCTTAGAGGAGGTTTTATAATCTTTTCAATAAAGCTCTGAAGCAGCACAAGGACAGGGCAGTCAGTCAGTTTTTGTGTTTCTCATGTCAGAAAAAGTGCTTACACATATGGTTTCTGCACTTTAATGCTAAAAAAAAAGCTGCTCTATCAAACTATTGCACTAAAGCAACCGAATTCTGTTCAAAACATCATTTGTTATCGAATTCAAGTATGTTTGGGACTTTTTTCTTCCTTTTGTTGATTTCTGTTCTTTTCATCAACACCAATGCACTGGCAAAGTAAATGATGTAGTAATAGTGTTGGGTCTTGTATATCTTGCATAGAGTTGTTCAGATGGATTTGTGGCCAAAATACCATGTATTTTGCATTTCTTTCAAAACTGCACGATTAATTGCATTTATTGTTTGCATTCTGCATTGTTTTTCACCTAAGGCTCAATTTTGGCTCTCAACCCATCAATTGAGGTCTTGAGGGTAGTGTTTTGAGGAAGGTGTTAAGCAGTCTAGTGAGGCTTGTTTTAGGTTAGAAGACCGTAAAGTTTCTGGTGTTTCAGGAGATGGTTTCTGTGGAGCAGCTGTGAGAGTGTAAGAGCTTTCACTGCCGTGAGCTGCAGAACTGGATGATTATCGCATGAGATCCACAGTGTGCCGAAGTCACGTCTCATTATGTTCCTTTAAAACCTGCTCACTGCTCGCAGCACAACCAGACCGGGGAGCACTCTGTGTTTTCTCTGTCTTATTTTCCTTATTTCTCTCTGTTTGAATTACTGTGACCAAGCAGCCCTTGGCCATTTCTCTCTCTCTGCGGTTGCATTATGCCTAAGCAAAAGTGACACGCTGGTGACGATGTCATGCTATATTGATGCCACAGCTGACATCATTCAGCTTGAGCCTGAGTTTCATTACTTTGCCATAAGCGCAGAACCCTTCTATTGAACATAAGTTAATTCACATGTGGGGATTTTTTTGGCTGATGATTATCGCAGAACTGTGAAGCAGCGCTCTCATTATGACTGTTTTATGCACACACACATACGCACAAATGGCCACGACGGTGCACGCAGAGCTTCGAGTCTTGTTAATGGTAATTGATAGATGCGCATGTTTAATGTTCGGTTGGGGTTTTAGTAACAATTATAGCATGGTCTGGTGCTAGTTTAGGCTTTTAGAAATGGTCAAATATGGAAGTAATTAGTCAGACCAAATGAATGCCGCACTAAACGGTTAAGGGACTGCAGTTCGCAACGTGCCTGGGAGGTACATCTGTGTGTGTTGTTGTTGTTGAAAACTTACCACTGAAAGTGAAAATAGTCAACAAAACATAATTGGATAAATGATGACTGCACATGGGGCTTCGGTGAAAGATGGAAACAATGGAGGGTTGTGGGTGCAATAGAAAACCCTGTACACAATTAACTGTGAAATCTGTTCAATGTCATTGGTTTTTTTTTAGAAAAAATTTAATCTGGAGTTTACGTTTTCTCTTTTGGTAAACAACAACGAATGGGGAAAAAACGCTTTTCAATAAATGCGTCAATAGAGAAAAGAGCCAGGATGATTCATTTCCCCTTTGTACTCGAATTGAACTGCAGACGTGGCTTTTGTTGTCAGAAATAGATTTTGAGTAAACACATGAATAACGGCTTTTTTTTTTCCTTTCGCAGGATGAATTCCATCCGTTCATCGAGGCGCTGCTGCCGCACGTGCGTGCCTTCGCCTACACCTGGTTCAACCTGCAGGCCCGTAAGCGCAAGTATTTCAAAAAGCACGAGAAGCGGATGACCAAGGACGAAGAGCGTGCCGTCAAGGATGAGCTCTTGGGCGAAAAGCCCGAGGTCAAACAGAAGTGGGCGTCGCGCCTCCTCGCCAAGCTCCGTAAAGACATCCGGCCTGAGTGTCGGGAGGACTTTGTGCTGTCCATCACAGGGAAGAAGCCTCCATGTTGCGTCCTCTCGAACCCGGACCAGAAGGGGAAGATGAGGCGCATCGATTGTCTGCGGCAGGCGGATAAAGTCTGGCGTCTGGACCTGGTGATGGTGATTCTGTTCAAGGGCATCCCACTGGAGAGCACGGATGGGGAGCGGCTGGTCAAAGGCGGCCAGTGCTCCAATCCCATTCTCTGTGTCCAGCCTCATCACATCAGCGTGTCCGTCAAGGAGCTGGACCTCTACCTAGCCTACTTTGTGCAGGAGAGAGGTGAGTTTGCACGACCGCTAACATGTGAACACATCCTCGTCCGTTCAGTACGGAGGGAGCGGATGATTCTTTGGAACTGCCCTGTTGCTGAACCGTAATGGCAGTACTGGGAAGTCTTGTTGTGCAAAGGTACAGAGAAGCCTAGGCTTGTGGAGAGGCAGTTTGGCGTGTGGCGTATATCACAGAAAGATGCTCTGGCTCATTCTTCTGAGAAAGCTGTTGACTCATCATCCTGTGCTTTTGATACCAGGGGCGCCAAATTTTGTGTGCAGCGTTTGCTTGCAGGCCTCAGAATGCAGCGTGAGGCACCGCACTAGTCAACATTTTTAAAACCAGAGCCGTGCTGTCAGAATCACCGACGTGTAGTTGGTTTTAACCAGAGAGACAGGAAGAAAGAGTTTAAGACATAAGCGGAGCCAGCACTGTGAATCATTTAAAATAAGTGGGTCTGCTCTGACAGGTGGGTAGATGGGTTTCAATTTACTGGATGTTTGTTGTATAAATGGAGCTATGAATGCTGTTGGGATACATTCAGGCTGATGTACAATTTAACCCTGCATTCATCATTCGTGAACTTGACATTATGCTTTAGTTTCTGATAAAAGTTGACACCATAATCATTTTGCAGGCATTTGAAGAACACAAATTGATTAATTACATAGATGCAAACTCCTCACCTTTCAGTGACAACTCACTTTTTTGAGGGGGGTCTTACAAGGGTAAATAAAGAACTGGGGCCGGTTGCATAAACTGTTTAGACTAGTCTTAAAATGTTAGTCATCTAATTTTTTTCTTCAAGACGGGTCATAACTTTTTTTAATTCAGTTTAAATCCAGATTGGTCTTATTTGTAGTGGAAAAGTAAGACTGATTACCCCTTGGCAACTGCTAGTTGGTCAAACTAGTTCTTAAGACATAGTCTTAACATGGTGGTTAAGTTTATGCAACTATCCCCTGGTTGTTTCAATAAGTTTTGTATAGTATTTTATTTACTCTTTACTTCAAAAACTATGTCTAAAAAGGGTAATATTTTATGAATTTGAGGTCTGAGATGTGGGAACGGTGAGAGAGAGCAAACATTTTGCATTTTAGGTTAGCATTGCTGTCTAATCAGCCAGTATTGTCTTAAATAGTCTGCATAGCATTTCATCTTTTATAACATGGGATTTTGTCCAAATATGTTCGATCTTGATTTTTATAAATAAATAAAAAAATATATATATAAATACCTTAAAGTAACTACAAATGAGCATGTAAAACAAATATCTTTAAAAGAAATTCCGTGTGGAGCATGCCCCCGATCCTTTTTCCCCTTACCTGTTTGCATATCTGTAATTAACTTTACTTTGGACGTTTTTATAACACAAGGATGCATTAAATTGATCGGAGTGACAGTATATCATATCTAAAATGTTACAAAAAAATTATATTTCAAATAAATGCTGTTCTTTTGAACTTTATATTCACCAAAGAATCCTGAAAAAAACTGTTTCTTGGTTTTCACAAAAATATTAAGCAGCACAGCTGTTTTCAACATTCATAGTAAGAAGAAATATTTCTTCAGCACAGAATCAGCATTTTAGAATGATTTATGAAGAATCATGTGACACTGAAGAAGACTGGAGTAATGGAAATTCAGCTTTGCAATAACAGGAATAAATTATACATTTAAATTTAGGCTACAAGTAAGCATAATTTTGACTCATCCTTTAGTTTGTAAAAACAAACAAAAATTAATTTACTGTATACACTTAAGCCTGAATAAACATTCAAAACACGCATTTCCTAGCGTGAGGTTACCAGTAAGCAACATGGAAAGAATGTGATGTAATTGTCCGTAAAGCAAACTCCACCCACAGGACTTAACATTGCGGCCGATAAACCGTAACCTTAGGTTCATCCACGTAGAAAAGTAGTCAGACCTCGGAATTATGATTCAGACAATTTAGTAACTTAAACAACAAACGTTTTTACTGTGAATCTCTTAAACTTAACTACAAGCTCTCACTGAGCTTCCGGAGTATAAGTATTACCGTAAGTGCATTTTCTGTTCGTTTTTAAAAACCAAAGTATGAGTCAACATTATTTTCTGTGGTAATTAACAACATACTACAGAAGATGTAAATATAACTTTGTAATACAGTTTACTCGTTCACAGTAATTCAGATATGACTCTGTAGAAGTTTATGATGCTCAGTCTCGGTGACAGCATGGTGTGTGTATATTAAGGATGTGCATTGCTTATAAGTTCAGTTGAGTGGTCAATGTGACAGGATGAAGAAGTGTATGTGTGTGTGTTCAGAACAGCAGCAGTTAGGGTGACTCAGCGTTCGGTGTATGTGTGAATATTGCGATAGCATCTCTCTGTACTACATTATGTGCTCCAAACGTTTTATTCAGTTAAATCCCAATCTCAGTGTTGTAGGAATTGTTTATTCTTTTTTCTACTGCACTCTGCATCTCTTCATATACAGAGGAGTCTAATGTGCACCTTAAATGTATCAGACATGTAAATGGAAACTCTGCAAAGAGGAGTTAGATTTGTCCTCAAATCTGATTGGTCAAGCAACGTTGATAAACAGTCCGAAACGTTTTACAGTTTGTGTCACTCCACCTGTGTTTGCAGCGTTCCAGACCAGAGTAAACTACTGCTCAAAAATTTGTGGTCGGTAAGAATTTTTAAATGTTTTTAAAAGAAGTCTGCATTTATTGATCAAAAATCCAGTAAAAACAGAGATATTATGAAATATTATTACAATTTAAAATAACTGTTTTCTATTTTAATAGATTTTGAAATGCAATTTATTCCTGTGATGCAAAGCTGAATTTTCAGCAGCCATTTCTTTAGTTTTCAATGTCACATGATCCTTGAGAAATCATAATATGCTGATTTAATATTAAACATTTCTTGTTATTATCAATCTTGAAGACAGTTGTGCGGCCTTCATACAGTTTTTTCAGATTCTTTGATGCATTTATTAGAAATATCAATCCTTTGAAACTATTTAAATGTCCCTATTATTACTTTTGAACAATTTAATGCAACCTTGCTGAATAAAAGTATTAATTTCTTTTAAAACATCTACTATACTATGACTTTTGAACATTAGTGTATGTGAAATGTTTCTCCCACCACTGACCTGGGAGGAGGAAATGGACCTATTCCACACAAAATTGACTTCTTTGACTTAATTAATCTTTTATTCACCAACTTTTATGTTTATTCATCTGTTGTATAAAAACAATATCACATCAGCATAAGTGCTGTAGATGCTGGCCAAGCATTCGAAAATTATTTTAGTCCACAGCTGCAGCCTGCTTTTTTCTCTCTGTCTTTCGCTCCCTTACTCTATCGTTCTTTCTTATTTCCACCCCTTTTGTCTCTCCGCCCCCTCAGGCGACCTTCACCCTCAGTTGTCTGGGTCAGACAGGCAGCCCGCATGTCACCTGACCTGCCTAATAGCCTACAAACTCCTTGCTATAAACAGTCCGATAAGGAACTGCGTCCATTCTCCCTCACTCCAACTGACGGCAGCACCGCAGAGAGAGAAAGAGAGGGAGCGCAAGGAAAGGAAAAGGAGGAGTGGCCAAGAGAAAGGCGAGAGTGAAAGAGGCATACAGTCAGCATTTACCCTTAAAGGCACAGGGCCATCTTTCACTTGCAAGGCATGCTCAAATTCCCTTCATCTCAGTGAAGTTGAACAGGAATGGCTGTTTCTGCAGCAGCAGCTGTGTTAGTGTGTGTGCACTGAAACTTTCAGCTCTGTTTCGGTATCTTTGCTAATGGAGCGAAGAGCGGGGTGGGGCGGGTGTCCCGCATGGAGGCCAGATCGAGAAACAGTGGCCATTACTCTTACTGCCCTCCTTCTCTCATTCAACAGGCTATTCGCTTCGCAAACGCTTCAACCACAAGTCTCTCGGGGTGAAACGGCTCCCTCGAAAGATGATCAAATTAATTACATTTCTGAAAGATTAGGCTATGAGCCTCATTAGAGATAAACGATTTATCTAGCTCTCCGTTTCGGGCCATATCGGTTTCCAGCAGGGGTCACATGACCTGGCTCGTGCCCCAGTACTCCTCTGATCTTTTTTTATAACTCGCAGTCTCTGAAGCTTTTGCTGGGACAGGATGGTGGTTTGACCGAACCGGAGCACATGGCTGGTTTGGTGGCACTGGAGGCGTCTGTGGCCGAGGCTCGTTCTCCCGGCCTCAGTGTCCCGCCGTTTGAGGCAGCGCTAAAACACATCGACTCTCTTTCCATTTGTTTCACGTGTGAGAATGCACTGCAAGTCAGCCGAGCAGGAAGATGCAGCAAACACACACGTGTGGACATGGACGCACACACACACGTGTTCAGTAAACACAGAGGAGTTGGAATGTGCTCCAGTGCTCTGGCAACGGAAATTTGGGAGGGGTGGGAGAAAGAGGGTCAGCTCAGGTCAAGTTCACAGTGCTGTCGGCTTCCAACAGGGGGAGGTGTTAGGTGTGCTTATCTTCTTAAAGGGCCAGCACCTATTAAGCAAAGCAGCACATGCTGGATTATAACAGTTTTATTTAAGAAAATAACTTTTTTGTTGTGCTCTACAGTAATAATTACTGTTGTAAGTTACTTATAACAATACCGTTAATGTCAAATATACAGTTACTCCATTGTTCAGACAAAACAAAAAACAGACTATTTAAAAAAATATGCTAAATGAATAAGGAATATTTGTTTGTGCCGATGGGCAGATAGTCATGCTGAAGAACATGATCAAAAGGTTTTTAATTTTGTGGAGTTCTTGTGTTGCTGTCAATAAAGCAGAAGATGTACAAACCAAATAAAATATTCAGATTTTTTTACATATTTTTTCCTGAAAAAGTTTATTTTGAAAACTAAAACGGAGCGTTGAGCATTTTCACTAGTGCTTTCAGATTTTTGGATCGCTATAGCAAAGATATCATTATACATTAGGAGTGACAGTCAAACGTGCGATTTCCTGACACAAAACAAGACCTGC